TTTAGCAGCCAATAGATTGAATGAGCCCCTGTCCTGAAAGAGTTGAAGGCATCGGCTGCAGTAGCACACCTGAACTGCCTGTTACACACCCCCAGCCCTCTGAGTGAGGAACTCCTTCTGTTCCCCATTTTCAGTGCAATCACACAGACTTTCCACTTGTTTCCTTTGGCTCATATTTCACTGCCGGATCATGTCCTTCAGAGGGATTGGCAGGGGTTTGGATACTTGGATCAGGTTCCGCTCTTGGTTTTTGTTTAAACCTGAAAGGGTTCTGTTCACTTTATTTTTGAGAGGGTAGGATACTCCTTTTAGCCAGAGCATTCTTGGCATATATCCAGATCAATCCTGGGTCCAGACTTCGGTTTTAGATTTTCATATTTGCACAATGTCCATCAGCTGCCATATTCTCTATTTCTTTCAATTCTATCTCTTCCTCCCCAGATCTCTGGCGATTGCTCTCTTAGTCTTCTCTGCTTTTGTCTCCAATTTCCAGGCTTCAATCTGAGATCTCACTGAAAAAACTCTCTCCTGTCATCCATAGTGCATCTCCCCAGTTCCTGATGTCTTCTCTTGTAGTACTTTGTTCAGTTACTTTGTGAACTTTTTCACTATTCTTTAAGAGTTCATAGTTAACTTCATTTGTCTTTATGTAACCCCTGTTTATATCTCCTTAAGAACATTATTATTAATGTGCATGTCCTTAAAGGCCACATACTGTAACAAGTGGCCTTACAAGTACAGAGTTTACTTATAAAGACCCCACAGTACTGTGGCACGTACTGTTAGGTTTATTTTTTATTGTGCTTCTGCTCACAAGGCCTATTTCCTTAGGAAAATGACTTGTTGAAAGTTAGAAACCGACTGAGAGACCAAGTGAGCCTCAGAGTTGTGTGTCAGGGAGACGCATTTGTGAGATTTTCGGGAAGCCAGTAGGCATCATGACCTGCTGAGTTGGGATAGAAAGGGACATCTGATGCTGTCAGTTACCTTTTTTTTTTCAGTTACATTTTTTGGCCCATGCCTGTGTTTATGTCTGTTTTCCCCAAGACATTCCTGTCAGCATTCCTGTGACACACTCTGGAGTGTTAACTAACAGTTAACAAAGTACTGTTATCTATGTAAATACAAAATTTCCTGTTAGACTATAAATCTACTGAAAAGTAGAAACTTTCTTTTTAATGCCAAAAAGCATTACTGTAAAATCATGCAGATTTAATAACCAATGTCTGTGGTGCTAAAGTCCAAGACCCCAGACTGTTGTGATTTTCCATAACATCATGAATAATTGAAATTTCTATAAGAGGCAGATTTGATTTTTTTCTTAATCCATTTATAGCTGTAATCATTTTTAGTTAAGTCATAACACCAAAAGTCACACTTTTTCACCTCCAACAACCACAGAGATGCTCCAGAAGAAAAGGAAGGCCAAATGTTTTCCCAAATTATTTGTTTTACAGGAAGACTCTGTGAGTGCTGTTCTTGACAGGATATTTTCATAGCTGAATTGCTGTCGACTAAAGAGGAAGTCAGACAATAGTTATTGTTAAGTTGCCACATCTGGTTTAAACATGCAAAATTGCCATTTGTTCCAACAGATATTATCTTGTCCCTAGACAGACAAAGAGGGGGTTAGATGAAGAGTTTTAGTATTCTCAGAGAATACACAGTGATCAAGAAATGTAGAACTCAACGATATGTGCCTCTTCAAAACCAAAGTCAAATCTCCATGGAGACAGAAAGCCAAGCTTGTGCGCCTCATACAGGAGGGTATAACTCTACCTCTCCTTTGACCTCTGGTTTTAATACTACAAAAAGGAATTCTCAACTTCCAGAACACATAATGTATTCATTTTACATTCCATGCTATGGCAGGAGCTTGGCTACACTCAGACTCCACAGCAGCGCACTGAATACCTCTTTATATGCTGATTCGCGTAAAACTTTTCACTATCTTTTCAGCTCCTTAAGAACTATTGCGTGTACCTTAAAATTAACATAGCATGGCATCATGCATGCCTTTCTTCAGTACATTCACTCCGTTTGATAGATTGTATATGTTACAGAGCGTCTTTCAGGACCCAATGCAGACGACACAATCCGTAAGGGAGTGAACACACACAGGGAGGAGATGAGGAACAGGGCTGGTAGACGATCGGGGGGGGTGTGGGGGGTGTGTGGTCCAGGGTGAACAATCCAAAAGTGATTCCAAAGGGAAATCAGTGGTGAGGCCAAGGTCCAGAGCTGGGTGATCAATCCAAGACGAATGAGACAAGATTAAGAGCCGGAGTGGAATCTGGTGAGGGGTTGTAGACAGACATGACAAAGTTACAAACCGGAGCGGGATCTGGCGAGGGGTCAGGGGGAAGAAAGGGGGAACGGAACCAGGCGCTCCAGCTCCCGGGCTCGGGCTCGGGCTCTTCAGAACACCTAGGAGGCGAATGCCACCCGAGCCGTGGACGTAGGGCATCTGTATTCTGGTGCAGAGCCCGGAACACCCTGAGCGTCTGGCTTTTGTAGGGAGGCTGGAACAGGGAGCAGGAGCACGAAGTCAACTAAAAAGTGAACGAGCCAGAGCGCCCTTGAGGGGGAAGGACTACAATCGTGACAGTGTATCAGAAATTCAAACTAGAATCATATCTTCCGTCTTTGTTCTCGTGCTCAAACTCTGGAGCAATGCACAGGGCGGAAAGGCAGTTGGGTGGAACAAAAGATCCTCTGGATGGTGGGATGGTCAAATGTCTAAATAGGTACATGTGTGCACAACTGGGGTCATCATTAAACGAGCTAGGAGAACCTGTATCCACGTCTAAGAAAATTTCAATACAGGAGGTCTGCCTAATTGGACATACTTTTATGTTTCATGAAATATCTCATTTCTTACAAGTTTTAGATTGTGGTCATATGTTTGGTATGCCATTTTACATACGTAATGAAGTCTTTGTGTTGGGGTTATTTTGTGGGCTTTTTGCCTACAGCTGTATGTAGCAACCCAAAGGTTTCTTATTATCTTTACCTTAAACTGTGCATCCTTTCCTAGTACGGTCTAACCGATGGAAAAAGGAACATTGTGCCTGAAGAGCTGGATTATTAAAAGGTTCGCTGTTCTTCTCCAACATTCTCCAACGTAATGTACTGTATCACTCTCTCTCTAACGGACTAATATAATATGTTTTAATGTTTGCTCTAGACAGCCAGCAGCTCTCAACTGGCTACCCACTGAAGCTCAGCGGGGTTGAGCCTGGTCAGTACCTGTGGGGGGTACTGACCGCCAGTGAGGGCCACCCACCCTGCGGTCTGTGTGGGTCCTAATGCCCTGGTATAGTGGTGGGGACACTATACTGTAGTGGGCACCGTCTTTCAGATGAGACATTAAACCGAGGTCCTGACCCTCAGTGTCATTAAAGATCCCCGGGCATTTCTCGATAAGAATAGGGAGTTCTCCTGGTGTCCAGGCCAAATTTCCCCCCTCTGCCTTTACCGTGGCCTCCAGAGTGTCCCCATGTACGATTGGCTTGTACTTGTCCTGTGATGGACTGGTGTCCTGTCCAGGGTGTACCCTGCCTTGCGCTCGCTGCTGGCCGGGTAGGCTCCGGCTTCCTTCCACATCGTACGGTATAAAGTGGTTTGGAAAACGACGTGACATGTTGCTCTAATATGTTTTTCACTAGTTAAAGTTTTTTTGTCTGGACTGGCAGAGATCACTGCTGTATAAAGGGATCTATTAGTACAGTGTCTGCTGTATGATTCAATGCTCGTAAACAAACTTTTAATTATGTTACAAATTGTATGCTCCGGTGAAAGAGTAATACATCAGAGCCACAATGTGAACAAACAAATATTGATTATTAAAACAATGTGATGCGGACTGCGATCATTAACCCTGCCTTCCCCCGTGATCATCATAACTACTGACAAATGCGAACACTCATCAGTGCCATTGGTCTAACGACCCTTTCAGAATTAAGAATTAATACATCATTAGGATTGAAAGGATAGATGAAAGTCTGAACGTTCGAGTTGCACTGTTGTTTGGGAAAATGTTTGAGCTGTACATGTTGTTTGGAAATATAAAAGTAAGCAGCATTTTAGGCTCAGCTCTGCTTCACATCTTATTATTGTATAAAACAAGATTTCCCATAAAAGAGGGTACGTGTCAGTGTAATATGAGGGTTGGCTTTCTACAGTCCTACCTTTGAAATTATGAACCTGCTCAAAATCTTTTTAAGAACATGCAAAATTTTGTTTTCTAGCACAGAGCACTGATTTTATATTGACACACAGATAATTCAACGTGTTAATACAGTGCATTCTGAAATCTGTGTTTCTAGACTAGCTAATCACTCAAGAAGGACTGTTAGGGTTGGCACACTCTTTAAAAGGTTCTGCGCTAGGCAAAAATACTGAACAAGGAAAACAACAACACGACTGTTATGAGTCAAAGACCGTGATATGAGTGGCCTAAAGTCAATACAGAGCTTTGATAGACACATAGACATATCTTAGAAGAGGCCAAGATAGCACTGCACTTCAACCAACCCAACAGCTGGTTCCAGCAGCACAATGTCTAAGTGTACCATCTGTTGCAATGTCTCCAAACATACGGTCTATGTCTTCAATATACAATTAAAGATGTATACATGTAATGTTTCTTTATTAGCCCTATACAATTTCTTGCATTAGAAATTCATCTTTTCACATACCCCAGCTTTTCTCCATAGAGACACAGACAGGGAGAGAAGCTTGGGGTCAGATTGCAGGGTCAGCCATTGTACAGCACCCCTGGAGCAGTTGGGGTTAAGGGCCTTGCTCAGGGGCCCAACAGAGTAGGATTCTTCTGCCACCTGTGGGATTTGAACCAGCAACCTTCCAGTCACAACCGCAGATCCTTAGCCACAGAGCCACCACTCCACCCCGAGAGTTGTAGACCTACATAGAAAGGTCTAACAATAACAACCAATAAACATCTTGTGTACTCTGGTTTTGTGGTAGTAATAATAATAAGAGAAGAGTGAATGATCTTCGGCCTTATGCAAAAGAAAGGAATCAAATTTCTCAGACAACACAAATCGATTTCCTTTGTTGTTGAATCCAGTGTCATGGTTGACAGGACACAAGAAAAGCACATACATTCATTCTTATTCAGTCTGATTCATTCTCAAGGCTTATCTGGACTCTGAAAGCTGAAGGGAGATCTGGTTTCTGGTCTTTATTGCTGGTTTGTCCTCCTGAAGGGGCAGCCTCCTCAGACTGTGGGATAAGTTGACAGAGAAGATGTCAACAGTGTAGACATTATAAAAGATCTAGATTTGGCTTCCTCAGTGATGTAGGACTAGACTTTCAATTCTTCTCAGGTTTGACCCTTGACTTGAAGTGGTCGTCCACAAGGGAAAAGCCTACTTGTTTTTCTCCACTTTCTCCCTCTGTTTCATTTCACAACAGAGCTGGATGTGGCATGAACTGGTCAGTATCAATTGTCTTTTCCAAGTTCACAGAAACTAACTTCTTAAGTCATTCCTTGTTCAACTACTGCCTTGCTCACAAGTTTCCTACTGGTGGGTAATTGCAGAGAGTACAATAAATAACCTTGTTACCTTACCTGGTATTCTTTAATCTGCATAGCTCTATAGATACAGTGGATGCTCACAGAGGGATGAGCTACCCGTGTTTCCTCATTGTTTGACACTGGTTTCTGGCCTGTATATGGTACAGAATGTTAAATGGCTATGTTATTCCATATTGGTATATTAATTTGTATAATCCATAGCACACAAGATGTTTTCCTTTTAAAGTGAGGACACACACAAACATTTAAGAACTTATAATATTTGGATTAAGTATTCTAAATGAGAAGTTCAAGGATAGCATTTGCAACAACATAAACATGGCTTTGACCACTTTGCCCCTACATCCTTGTCATCCTCTGTTACCAAAACATGGAAAAATCTTTCTGTCATGTTTCTGGGATTGAAATCACATATTATTCCAGTAGTTGTGCATGCCTGCTGTAACTCTTCTTCTCCTTACTTTGTAGGTCTCTCAGTGGAATCAGGGAGAAAATTTATCAAAACCTGCGAGGACTCGTTTTAGCGGTCATCCTTGTGGTAACAGTTGTCATTGTGCAGGTAACAATGCTGAGGTACCAGAATCTCGTTCCTGAGAAGAATTACCAGGACAGACAGAAAGGCAGTAAGAGTATGTCCTCCCGGGGACGGGGAGCCTTCTGGATGGAGTATGACAATGGATCGCACATTGACAACAGCTTGGTCCAAGGATGGGACGTTATAACTGCCAACTGCTCTGCCAACTCCAGCATGGTCAGCATGCCGTGGTTTGCTGGAGTGGGGGAACGTATCCAGCGGTTCCTGTTGTACCGGCACTGTAGGTACTTCCCCATGATCTTTAACCATCCAGAGAAATGCGGAGAAGACATCTATCTCCTGATGGTGGTCAAGTCCGTGATCACACAGTACAAGCGCAGGGAGGCCATCCGCAGGACCTGGGGGCAGGAGAAGGAGATCAGGGGAAAGAAGATCAGACTCGTGTTCCTTCTGGGGACAGACTCCAAAGGAGAACAGCAGGCTCACCACCAGAAGCTCCTGGAGTACGAGGACAGGGTGTTTGGGGACATTCTCCAGTGGGACTTTGAAGACAGTTTCTACAACCTCACCCTCAAGGAGGTTGGCTTCCTAAAGTGGTTTTCCATCTATTGTCAAAGCGTGCCGTACATCTTCAAGGGAGACGATGATGTCTTTGTAAACACTGTCAATGTAGTAGAATTTCTGGAAAGTAACAAGAACACAACAGACTTGATCACTGGGGATGTCCTTACAACCTCTGCTCCAAACAGAGACATGAATAGCAAATACTTCATCCCAGAAGTGATGTTCAGTGAGACTTTTTACCCTCCATATGTAGGAGGAGGAGGGTTCCTCATGGGAGGCCCCTTGGCTATGAGGATGTACGGCGCTTCTAATGAGCTGGAACTCTTCCCTATTGATGATGCGTTTATAGGCTTGTGTCTCAGAGTGCTCCAGGTCAGCCCCAAGGAGCACGGTGGCATTAAGACACTGGGCATCAAAGTTAAAAGCAGAAGAAATGGGATTAAAGACCCCTGTTTATACCGTAACTTGCTGCTGGTTCATAAATTGACTCCTGATGAGCTGATTCAAATGTGGGAACAGGTGAACAGCAACCTCATCTGCACACAGTCAAAGTATATAGAATAGAAATGTCAGAAGGCAGAGTGAGATAAAGTACAGACTGACCCAGTTCTGGGTGGATAAACACTGTACACTTAATCAGTGAAGAAAGTGGAATTATCTGTCTCATCAAGAGGATGAGAAATAAGTCTACGTACTGTCCCCTGCCAAAGTATTCACATCCTTCTTGCAGTGTCCTTTCTTGTGGAATTACAAAATGATGCCTTCATATTTTATTCCGAATCTGAATACTCAAAATGAAGACCACATATGGTACGATAGGTTACAGTAAATGTCAATAAAGCAAAAGAGGAATAAACTTGAAGTCTGTTGATTGTATAAGCTATATATATCTAAGCAATGTGAACTCAGTTCTCTGAAGTTGAAAACTGCTATGGACAGCAGTTGCCAGGCTTTTCCATAGATTATCATTAGGCTTCAAATCCAGACTTTTGCTGGGCCTCTCAGGGACACTCACTTTCATACTGTATATATATTCTTTCGTATAGATCTTGGCCTTATGTTTTGGATCATTGCCCCACTAAAACACTGTGTATTTGTCTCACTTTTAGGTACAAAGCATGTTATAATGTAAGATTTGACCGTATTTTGCTCCATCTGTGTTCCAATCATTATCAACATTATCAAGCTTCCCAGTCCCTGCTGTTGATATGCATAATTAAAGTATAGTGCTGCCACTGGTATACTTCACTATAGGGAATGTGTTAACATATCACTGCAAAATGTTGGGTTTGTATAATAATTAATAATCATATTTTTTATTTTTACATTGCTTAACCAAATTCCAAAGGCACTGCTGTACATAATGATAAAGAAAAAGGCACAAAAAAGTGCAATAATAGCTCTGAGTTTAGATTTGAAAAGAGAATTTGTCTCTCGAAGATTCAGAGGAAGGGCATTCTATAACAATGAAGCTGCAACAGACAAATCACCAGATCTAGTCCTTGGTACAGTGAGCACAGAACCAGCCTCAACTGAGCGGAGCCTACGAAGAGGACTGTGAACACAAAGGAGTTTAGAGTTGTGATGGAGCCTTGAAAGTCACTATCAACATCTAATATTGAGCGCTTCACAGACAACCTGGCAGCAGATTAAGGTTTTATTAAAGAAAATTGTTTATCATCATCTTAGTTAAATTCCTGATTGTACTGCAGTTTATTGTACAATATAAGCAATTTATTTGACAATTCTTTGGTTCTCTGTTATGTTAACCAGTGCTAAACAGATAATAATATATGTATATGTATATCTAAAATGTGGGAACATCATTAGATACACTTTGCGGACCTGAGAACCAGTGAGAAACATTTTACATGTAAAGCAAAGCACATTTAATTTTGAGTTTAAACTTTCATGGAATGAAACCAATGAATCAATTCAAGGGTTATCTGTAATGAAAGACATATGCAACTGTGGGCGAGAGGTCTCAAAATGCACTTTGTCAAATAGAGTTTAATTGGGTTGGTATATATAGGGTATGCATCACACTTGTGTTTTCGTTACGATTTGTGTTATAATACTTGAATAAGTCTACAACAAAGCCTCCTGAACTTGACTTTGTCACACAGAAAGAGAATGTTTTTGTGTGCAGACTGTGGAGTCCAGGGTAGAGTCTGTCACACAGCTTTCTTATTGCCATAGCAACAAGTGCATCTTTCCTGTGCTCCTACATGTGTCACAGGCTCCTGTGAGGTATTGTGATACCTCACACAAGGTCATTCACTCTTCAACACAACTCAACGGTCATAAAACAAAGGAAATGTGAACTGACTTTCAAAACAAGACTCCATAACCCATCGCCTTAGAAACAAACAAGGTCATAGTTATTGTGTCTTTCCAGATTCTCGGTGTCACCATCTCTAACACCCTCAAACAAGTGTGGGAGGAAACCCACACAAACACAGGGAAAGCATATTGACTCCATGTTGATAGCACCCCAGGACCAGAATTGAACCCCAAGGCAGCAAAGCTGACCACTTACCCTCCCTGCTGCATTTTTAGTGTGATAGTTTACTAAATATCTGTAGAGCTGTATATTGCTTCATCTCTCATTATCCCAGTCCGTTTCCATTCTCTCGACCCCTGCTGCTAAACAGTCATCCCTCATCTGCAGGATAAGACTTTCAAAATCGTTTACCCACATTGATGGTAATGCCCTTCCATTTTAACAGGCTTTTCACCCAGGAATACGTAAATGAAATATTGGTTTCTTTATGAGTGTGCTAGTCTCCGATTGCTTCATATTCATATAGATTGATATTTACTTTTGAGATTTACTTTAATGTAAAGAGAAAAGAGCCTGCACAATCATTTATTTAAATACCACAATTCATTTTAAAATCCTCTGCACCATTTCTAAGGTTTTGACAGCATGATCATGAATTGAAACCAATGCATATATATCCATTTGCATGCATTTGATGCATAAATAATCATATATAAGAGATTTTCATGTTAAGCAATCTAGTGTCAATTTTCCGGATTTATTTTCCAACTGGATTTATTTTGTAATTGAGCTTAAATTTAAAGGCAAGTCAAAGATCCCAGAACAGTACTCGGGGGTAAGGTGCTTTTATTACAGCTTCCCAGTCTGTTCCTGCTTCTTATTTCTTCAGATTCTGCCTAAGGGATTTGAGCATTTTTATGGAGAACCTGCTGTCCTATTTATAGTATTTTGGGAGATGCGATTTCCTTTATTTTGGAATGCTCAGACTAAAAGCATTCTCTCCTAAATTGGTTATGCATTTTAAGAATAGATTCCCATTCACGGTTAGGAATCAATATTGTAGGAGGAGAGGTTTAGTCCTGCGCTGGCTTTTGTTTTGAATGCAGGGTATTTCTCTTGTTGACCTGTCAAGTTGTTACTCTGCATTTCTGGTGCATTCTGGGGTTGTACATCTGTAGAATGTAGCCCTCTGAGATGTGTAGTTTTGTATATAGTGCAACGTTTCATAATATGTAATGTTTTGTGCTGTTCAGTTGTGTGATTATTTTATTGTTAAAAACTCTTTGTCTTTCAGGATTTTCAGGTCTTTCAACCTAAATCTTTGAGGCTTTGACTCTGATTTTATTACTCTGCTGACAGAGCTGTGCAAGAAAATAAAAAACTCACGTGTCCTCGAACTACATGTCCTGCATAGCTACATTATTGACAGATTCCCATCTTATTTCCTGTGTTCTTTTTTTCCTGACTCCCCTATTTTGTAACATAATATTCTGCTTGCCCTGCGATGGACTGGCGCCCCATCCAGGGTGTACCCTGCCTTGCCCTTGTTGCTGGCCAGGTAGGCTCCGGCTTCCCACGACATCCTATGGTATGAAGCCTGGACCAGCTCCCGTGAAGTGTAGTTCAGGACCCTATGCAGACGGTATAATCCGGAAGTAAACCGGGTAATCCATCCGAGACAAAACAAGACAAAGTTAAAAACCGGAACTGGATCCGGTACAGGGACAGGGCATAAAAACAGGATGACAAGGCCAGACACTCCGAGCCCCGGACTTAGATGGTCAGGACGCCGTGGTGAAGCCTATGCCGTCAGGTCACTCCTGGACCTGCTGGTAGGAGGGCTTAAATAAGGAGGGGCAGGATAGGGGGGCAGGTGCACGTTCTCAGCAAAATAAGAAAGAGCCAGAGCGCCCTTAAGAGGAGGGATTACGATCGTGACAGGTTTGGCAAAATACATGACATGACAATGTTCTTCTTTTTTCTGCATTGAGTGCCATCTGTCAAGTGTTTGCCCAACCCTTTTGAATGACTTTTGCTGCTTCTTTAGTGTTTGTCAATCCTCTTAGTTTGACACCATCTGCAAATGTGAGTAGTTTACTGACTACTGTATATCAGAAACTAGATCACTTTAAATGAACATGGAAGAGCAGTTATCATAGAACAGATACACGTGGTACTGGAGTAAGTATTTTTTGTCATTTAAACTTAAATTGTTAACTGGATGAAATCGGTGGGTGAACTGGTGGTACAGTAGTTAGTGTTGTTGTCTCACAGTGTTGGAGTTTGTATGTTTTCCTTGTGTACATGGGTTTCCTCCCACAGTCTATTGACATACCGGTAGGTTATGTATAAATAATTTCAGTGCATTTAAAATTGATTGCACATGGCTTCATTTATGCCTGTCTATAGGATGTTTCGGACCCCCAACTAACTCTGTTGGTAGAACGCGAGACTCATAATCTCAGGGGTAGTGGGTTTGTGTCCCACATCGGGCGCAAGGTTCTCTAATAACCCATACTGGGCAGCAGCGGAAGAAAGGCTTGGATATCTACTTCTGTATCCTGCCATGGAAACTACGGATAGCGACGGGGAACTACCCATAGGGTCGCCCTGATTCGAGAGCACTCATCCCATCCCATAGTATGTTCACTTCATCTCCGATATTTTGCACCGACGGTTCATTGTGCCTCCTGCCTTTGTTGTCTTGCTCTATCTCTACAGCAACGCAGAGGCAGGAAAAAAGGCAGTTACTGTAGGTGAAACAAAACACACCAGAGCCTCTGAAAGGTGGGATAGTCAATTGCCATAACATATGCTTGTGTGCACAACTTGGGTCATCATTCTGTTACAAGGAGAGTCCGTGTCAGCAAATTGTTTAATCAGAAGCCAGCCAGCCTGCAGGCTGTCTAATGATTTACCCCTGTCTAAACTACTCACCTCTTTTCTATTTCTTCTTCAGAAAATGTAAGTATTACTATTGTGGCATCCTATGCATGTCCGTATTAAAAATATAGAAGTTTTTTTGTGTTAGTGAACTGTGCATAAACCTAACAAATGCTCATCAATATGAAATAAGTATTTTCAGAACATTTAAATGGGTATAACTGATGTCATTGTGTGTCACAAAGCTGTTTCCTGGAATTGTAAAAATAAACTTGTGATACAGATCTGTCGCTCAGGTGTCACTGTTTCTAAAATGGTAATCATGATCTGATCAAACGAAATCCAGGAGCAAAAGTTAATATCTCTTCTATGGTCTAGTAAAATTTAAAAAATATGGGATCGCCGTAATTCAGCACAACTTTATATATTATATATTATATATTATATATTATATATTATATATTATATATTATATATTATATATTATATATTATATATTATATATTATATATTATATATTATATATTTATTATATATTCCTGCAAGAAATTTCAATGTAAGGTCATATTTGTTGGCAAATATTTTACATATTTGAATTTCACAGTGTGTGCAATTTTACCCATAGCAGTAAGATTTACAGCAAGAGGTTCAGAGGGCTACAACACAAAAGTTTCTTTTTAACGTTACCTTTGGCTGCATAATGATTCCCAGTAAGGTCCAACCTGCTGGGAATCTATATTGTTCCATGAATCAGTGGATTAATTTGGCTTTGTTTGGCTCGCAAGCCAATGGCAAGCATTGCGCTGTATGTTCATGCGTGCGAATAGACTTTAAATAACGTCTGACAAACATGAGCTCTTTAGATTAGAAAACATTGTATTAATGATCTTTACAGAATTAAGACCACAGACCTAGGTTTGATCTCAGAACTATTCAATCTGGTAACCCAAACATCAGTCCAGTGACAGAGACACAAAAACGCAGACTGATCTAGAGTGTATCACCTGATTCTGTAGCAAGCCTTTCACTACACAAACGATCTTTTAGTCTTTGCTCATACGTGCAAATTGTATGAGGCCTGCCATATTCTCTGTTTCTGCCATGCTACCCTAAGCCTGTCAAGGTCACTGGAGATCGCTCTCCGATGCTGTTCTGGGACTGCCATTTTCCAGCTATCAACAAACTGTCTCCATCCATTCACAGCTCCCAATGTTCCTTATAGATCCACCATGACCGTGTACTTTGTTTCAGGATTCTTGGAGATATTTCTCACTTCATGTAACTCACCTTAAAAGGATTTAAACAAATGTTACCTTATTAGTTAATACTGTCACCTCAGCTGGGCGGCAGGATGGTGCAGGGCTTAGCATTGACATTGAGCTGCCTCGCAGCACTGTACCCTGGGTTCAGGTCTGGAGGTGCTGTCTGTGTAGAGTGGTTATGTTTCCCCCAGATCTGTGTGCATTTCCTCCCAGAGTCTAAAGACGTGCTGGTAGGTTATTTAGCTTCAAGGAAAATTAACCCTGGTGTATGTACGTGCGTCTGGTGTCTTGTCCAAGGTGTACCAGGCCTTGCACCAGTTGCTTGCTGGGATAGGCTCTGCCTCCCCCTTGACACTGAATTGGATAACGTGGTGGAAAATGGTTGGATGGAACTTAGCTTTGAATGCTTTAATATGTCCACGTCCCTTTAATATACTTCGACCACGGAGAACTGTTTTCTGTTCTGGTTTATTGATGATATTAAAATGCTATTAGTTGTGTGTTGCAGCTCTAACCTTCCTTCTCCTTAATTGCTTAGGTCTGCCAAAGGAATCAGGGGGGAAGATCTATAACATCTTACAAAGTATCATTTTAGTGATCATCCTTGTGGTAACTATTGTACTTGTGCAGGCAGCAATGCAGAGAAACCAGGATTCTGTTCCTAAAAAGCATTACCAGGACACACAGAAACCCAGTAAGAGTTTGGCCTCCTGGCAACAGAGTTCCTTCTGGATGCAGTATAAGAATGGATCGCTCATTGACAAAAGCATAGTTCAAGGATGGGATGTTACAAATGCCAACTGCTCTGCCAACTCCAACATGGTCAAATACCCATGGTTTTCTAAGGTGGGGGAACGTATCCAGCGGTTCCTGTTGTACCGGCACTGTAGGTACTTCCCCATGATCTTTAACCATCCAGAGAAATGCGGAGAAGACATCTATCTCCTGATGGTGGTCAAGTCCGTGATCACACAGTACAAGCGCAGGGAGGCCATCCGCAGGACCTGGGGGCAGGAGAAGGAGATCAGGGGCAAGAAGATCAGGCTCCTGTTCCTGCTGGGGACAGACTCCAAAGGAGAACAGCAGGCTCACCACCAGAAGCTCCTGGAGTACGAGGACAGGGTGTTTGGGGACATTCTCCAGTGGGACTTTGAAGACAGTTTCTACAACCTCACCCTCAAGGAGGTCGGCTTCCTAAAGTGGTTTTCCATCTATTGTCAAAGCGTGCCGTATATCTTCAAGGGAGACGATGATGTCTTTGTAAACACTGTCAATGTAGTAGAATTTCTGGAAAGTAACAAGAACACAACAGACTTGATCACTGGGGATGTCCTTACAACCTCTGCTCCAAACAGAGACAGGAATAGCAAATACTTCATCCCAGAAGTGATGTTCAGTGAGACTTTTTACCCTCCATATGTAGGAGGAGGAGGGTTCCTCATGGGAGGCCCCTTGGCTATGAGGATGTACGGCGCTTCTAATGAGCTGGAACTCTTCCCTATTGATGATGCGTTTATAGGCATGTGTCTCAGAGTGCTCCAGGTCAGCCCCATGCATTACAGTGGCATCAAGACACTGGGCATCAAGGTTAAAAGCGGAGGAAATGGGATGAACAAAGACCCCTGTTTATACCGTAACTTGCTGCTGGTCCATAAGTTGGCTCCTGATGAGCTGATTCAAATGTGGGAACAGGTGAACAGCAACCTCATCTGCACACAGGCAAAGTATATAGAATAGAGGAACAAGTAAAGGTTCTTCCATGCTGAAAGGAGAAAAGCTGTGGAGGTCTGAAGATAGAGCTTAGGGTAGATAACATAGCTTCAGGTTTTTCACTGATTAAGTACCTGCCCACAGCTCAAGAAGATGAGATACAAGTCTACATACAGTCCCTTGCAAAAGTATTCACACCCTTGCTGTGGTGTCCTTTTTTGTGAAACTACAAAATAATGCCTAGACATTTTTTAATCTTAATATTTTATTCAAAACCTGAAAGTCTGAAGGGAGAGTGAGTTAAGGAACGGACAGCCAGAGTAACCGTCTATAATAAAGGGAAAAAAAAACAGTTATCTGCCCACGGGTCAAGAAGATCCGAAATGAAACTGTGTAAAATCCCTTGCAAAAGTATTCAGACCCTTCCTCTGGCTTCTAACTTTGTGAAATTACAAGATAACGCTTACATGTTTTTCATGAACAATATGTGAAGATTTCTTTGTAAACATAAAATGTAATGGCACTTTTTTACCAGAAACAGTGAAGAATCAAGAACAGTCAATTATCTTTTAAAGCCTACACAGATAGATTAGGATTGGGAATTAGGAATATTATAATGTGCAACATGGCATAAGTAGAATATCAAATATTTGAAGATTTTGCTAGCATAAACATATAAATTAATATGAAGGCTGATCAGCTCAAAAGCGCCAGGTAATGAAAACGTGATAGAAGTTGGATAGTTACATTAGTTGAAATGAATTGAATTTGGATGTCTAAAAACTAAAGCTGCATTGTTAATAGTTAATTAGAAGCCATGACAGAGTGGTTTGCAGGATCCTAGACAGAAGTTTTATCATTGTCACGATCGCTACTCCGCCTCTTGAGGGTGCTCCAGCCCTTCCTCGTTCTACCTCATTCCCCACACCTGTTCCTTATTCCAGCCCCTCTTTAGTTCCACCTTAAAAGCCAGACGTAGACGTTACTCGAGGTTCCTCATTGAATCCTGTGTCGCGAGAGCCCGGCTCCTGCAGAGTCTGGCTCCGTTATGATTTTAACTTTCTGTTCCTGATCCCCCCCTGCTGGTTCCGACCCGGTTCCCGTGTTTTAACCCCCGGATGGATCGCCTGGCTATGGACTCTCCCTTCTGTCTTGGATGGCCCGTTTGGACTTGTACATGGATTGTTCGCCCCGGACTCACTCCCCCTGGACACCTGCACCCCTTGGACACGCCCCCAGTCTCCATACCCTCTCCTGCATGACTTTTTCCTCACTAATCCGGATCGTGTCGTCTACACAGGGCCCGGAAAGAACTGTTCGCGACAATTATGCCTAAAGTATCGCATTGAGGATTTACCGAGTGTAATTAATTGAAAGAAAATGTGTACAACATGAGTTCATAAGGGAAAATACAGTATTCAAAAGGAACAGTGTAAATAATTGCAGTCCTCTTACATTTTTCAGCTGGTTTCCACCACATGATTAAATGTGTAAGCAGAACAGTGGAAAACTAAGTCTGCAGACATGTGACCCCATGGCTCCGAACCATTCAGAGGGGGTCAATGAACAACACGAAAACACCTTTTTCATCATTTTCTGGCACGTTAAGTGTTTTGTAACCAGCAGGAATGTACAGTAAATGTGCTGCTGAATGAGAGGTCAACAGATATTGCGGCATCCTTACCTTTATCTCAACAACATACAGTAAGCTGAGGTTTGTGGATGTCTCCCCTTATCATTGCGTTGACACATAAGAAACTTTGATTTTACTCCGGATTTTGATTATTGTATTACTTACAAAAAGAATAACATATATAAAAAGGAGTGGTTAGTGTGTATATGTATATATTTATTTAGGATGTGCACAATACTAAAGTTGTTTTGATTTGTTTTTTGTGTTGTAAAATTTGAATAAACGTACGGCTAAGCCTCTTGTCATTGGGCAGGATGAAAGGTTTGTTTGTGCTGAAGGGAAGGGCGGGTCACACAGCTCAGTTTTTATCATGCCAAACAAATACATGTCTGTGTGTCTCATGCAGAGCAAGCTGGGGTATGCAAATGCCGAATACAAGAAATTGTATACAGCCAATAAAGTGATCTTATCTTACATCATTTACAGATTTATAGCACAGTGATATTGTGACACCTAGAGGTTGTGGGTGCTATTGCAGGCAGAAATGAGAGATTATTTGGCCCCTGCCCTAGAGGGGCTGCTGGGAACAGACTAAGAGTTGCTGTATGCACATAGTTTGCCCTTGTGTTGTTAATAAAAATGATTGCTCAGACTTCTATAGCCCTCTTCTGGACACTCCACTCAGAGCGCTTTACAGGTAATGGGGACTCCCCTCCACCACCACCAGTGTGCAGCCCCACCTGGATGATGCAACAGCAGCCATAGTGCACCAGTACTCTCCCCACACACCAGCTCTCAGTGGGGAGGAGAGCAGAGTAATGAAGCCAGTTCATAGATGGGGATTATTAAGAAGCCAACGGGAAATGTATCTGGGAAGCCAGAGTAACACCGCTACTCTTTATGGGAAATACCCTGGGATTTCTAATGACCACAGAGAGTCAGGACCTCGGCTTTATATCTCCTCTGAAGGACGGCGCCTTTTTACAGTATAGTGTCCCCATCACTATTCTGGGGCATTAGGTCCCACACAGACCGCAGGTTGAGCGCCCCCTGCTGGCCCCACTCACACCTCTTCCAGCAGCAGCCTTAGTTTTTCCCAGGAGGTCTCCTATCCAGGTACTGGCCAGGCTCACACCTGCTGAGGTGCCAGTAGTATGTTGCAGGGTGGTACTGAGCTGCTGGCAGTTGCAATTCCTCCTCTGTAATTAGTCTCCCTATTAGACTCCTCAGCTGGTTTCTCTTTGTAACCCTGTCAGCAGTGGAGTCAGTAGCCTCCTTTAGCCTCCAGAGGTCTAGGGGCTGGCCTGCTGGAAAGCAGCAGTATGAATGAGAGAGTGGGGGTGTGGGGCTTTTGATCAAAAGCCAAGGAAGCGGAGGATGGGAAAGAGATTGAGGCTGTTCCCACTTGGAAGGACGCTGCAGAAAAAAAAAAACAAGACAAAATTGTAATAAATCAAACATCAATCACCTGGTGGCCATCCGGATTGGTGTCTCCCCCCTTGAGTGAAACGGCTTCTCCCAGCGCGCCTGTAGCTGTCCACTGACCCGCAGCCCAGAGACGAGCGCCCGGACCGTCCGGGGAGGGAGCGGCCGGCATCAGTCTGCGGAGTCCAGCGGAAACGGCTCCGGAGGGGCCCTCTTGTACACGGGGAACGTTCCCCAGTCCAGGCGGACAAGCTACCCAGCACATATTTCATATTCATAAATTCACCCACTGCATTTCACAATTCTGAGATTTCAAGTCGCAATTCTGAGATTTCAAGTCGCAATTGCGAGATACCATAGCGCGTTTTTTTTTTACTCCCTAGCGGAAACGGGCTTCCATATCAATCGCACTATACCGCGTCGGTAAAAGTACTCAGAGGGGGCCAAGAGTACCGTTCGGACGCCCTCTGATTTAATTCCTTCTCAGTAAAATGTGAAAAGATGGGGGGTGTTCCTCATGAAGAGAATAAAAACCCAGGGCAAAGGTCGAAACATTTTTTCGAGTTCTTCGGCCTTTGATGGTTTGTGCTGGAAGCGGTTCGTAGAATGAGTTTGAATGTCCGATTATGACTGTCGGTGCGCACCCGGGTATGGATTCATTTTTTATTTCCACCCAGGTGTACACTTTAATTTCCTGAGACCAACAGTTCTGTGATTGCTGAGCTTCGTTCAAGAAACGGTGCTGCCAACCTTACGCGAGTTGCCTTAAACAAAACAAGACAACAAACTGAAAATGCAAATTTAACTGCGTATAATACTGAGATTAATAGACAGGGCCCGATAAATAAAACCGCCGAAGTCACCGTTGTATTTCAGTCGGTGTTTTAAAATTTGATTTTTGTCACCTGAAAATTGTACACATTCGAATTTTTCTGAATTTGTCTCGCCCAATTTATTTCCTTATGATTTTAACTTGTCTGTATATGAAGTGGTTTGGAACAAAAGTTTTGTCTATTCTGACGCTCTTTGCACGGAGTCATATAAACGTATTATGATTTTTAAGGTTGTTGAAAAAATGCAGTTCAAATGTCTGTTTTTTTTTTTAGATTTATGTTTCTGATCCTGGGTACAGGATAAATGGATACAACTAAATGAATATGAATACAAAATTTAAAGGCAGATACATTTTTATTTCAACACATATGGAATACAACATTCTACAGCTATAAAAATCTGGATCTGGGCACAGTAAAGGTCACAAGGAATCTGGGAGAGAGAGAGATAGCGTGACCTCTGTGACTTCTGAAATGCAGCGCAGTAAAGGTCACAAGACCTCTGGCATGTGGCACAGTAAAGGTCATGTGACTTTTGATTTGTACCAGAGGTTGTCCTTTCCTGCTCCATGTCCCAGAGGACGTAGGACTTCTGCTGTGTCCCCAGTGAGCACATGTCCTCTTGCTGTGCCCCTTCCCAGAGACTGCATGATCTCTTCTGAGGCAGAGGTCACCTGACCTTTGCTGCTCTGCTTCCCAGGTTTCCACGTTTGTACCCTCTTTCGTGTAGATTGACCCCCCTCTGATCCACCCACCTGGCTCAGCTATCTGCCCCCTGACCCTTCGAGAGCTCTGCAGCTCTCAGCAAGAGACCGGGGCCTTAGTGGAGAAGCAGTGCATCTTTGCCATCTTTAACAGGAGAAGGTCTTGAACAGCCTGTTAACATCAAGACTACTGACAAAATCCACACGGCAGCCTTTTTCAGAATGGACAGTGACCCAGGGGACACAAATGGAAACAATGTGTAAATACATTTGAAACTGAAGGTGGAGGCACTTCTTTACACAAAGAGTGGGGGTGTGTGGAACAAGCTGCCCAGTCATGTTGAAGGCAACACCCTGACTTCCTCCAACAAACTGCTGGACAGGATCTTGGGATCAATTAGCTACTAACGAACAAACAGGGTGGATGGTTACAAAGAGCAGGCCATTGCCTCATTCTCACGTTGTAATCATGGGCTTAATTAGTCCAGATGAGGCCGATTTTAACCGCTAGAGGCCAGAGGAGAGGTGTGGGGAGGAGGAACAGGAGTTCCCGCCATCAGACACCATTAATGTTACAATATAGTTCACAATAAATATCCTCAAAAAGCCATTTAAGATCACAAACACAAAAGTTTAATTTAAAAAAACAACTCGGACATCGCAACACATGACACTAATAATCGAGTGGGGTCCTCCCTTTCCTGTACCCCAAGGAGATTTCTAGGTCTACTGCGGTACTTTAAAACTCAGGTCCGCCTAATCCTGCCCCTGGCGACCCCAGAATCTGTTGACCCATGATCCATCTGATAATTAGTTATTTCAGATTAACTATTAAAAAAGCATAAATAACTTGTTAAAACCGGCTGCTATTACACAAGCATAAATGACAGAAAATATCGAATTAAAACAAGAACCAGGAATTGAGCTGGTCTTCATTCAGGGCTCAGCTGGAGCGGGGCTGGTACTGGGGAATCCTGCTTTCCCTGAACCAGGCGAGTCTCGATCGGGACTTTGAGAGCCCCCCCACTAGATCGAGTGACCCCTTGTTCTGAGCCCAGCCCCCAGATCTGATTACCCTTGTCCACATTTAATTTAGAGGGTTTTGTGCTGCGGAGAAGAGATAAAGTCATCCAATCAAGCTTTAATTGGACCAACTGAAAGCTGCTGGATTCCGGATCCCAAGGACAGCAGCTGTGAGCCTTTGGTCCAGAGATCAACAGAGGAGGGGTCACCAGTTATTGGTTCCTGACATCTCCATACACAGCAGTCTGATCCACTCCGGGTTTTTACAATGTTAATGATCAGACTCCTTCTGAACAGCAGTCTGATCCACTCTGGATTTTAGCAGCATCAGGAGGCTCTCAGAAAAACTGTACCGATTTAACAGAAAAGGCCAGTATATTCAATTGTTTTTTATCTGGATGTTTGTATGTGACTTCAAATAAGTAAATAAATAAAATAAAAAAATAAAGTTATACATCTCCAAATCCCACTGTTGCTTTGATACAAGAAATATCTGTAGTTGCTAAAACCTGGTGTGGATCAGACTGCTGTGCAACGGGAGTCGGTCTCTCTTCGAACCAGGCCCTGGTGGCACAGCACATCTTAAGCATTTAATACCTTTAAAGCGAAGGAACATCAAATACTTCTCAGTGTGAACATCCTCAAACCCAAAGCCACACTTAGCACGTGGGTTCTCTTCAACCACTCCACGCACTGCTGTACCCTCCAGTCCCCCCGGAAAAGAAGAAAAAAAAGGATGAACAGTTGACAATGATAAAACACTAAAAACAAAAACGAAACTGTATCCTCACCATGAGGGAGGAAGATGATGGTAGGGAGGAAGGGCAGCACAACTAGTTTACGTCGCAATCAGAGAGAGGTACAACTTACTCTAAAAATCTCTTCAAATTTGGGGTCCCCTACCATGTAGCCAGCTAGCCTAGTCCAGTCAGCACGGGGGCCTCTGGACCCCAGTCCGGTCAGCGCTTTCCCCAATCGCCTGCTTTACGGATCAGGTTCAGATGGCCTTGCAGACCGTCTGGACTGCGGCTGTCCAGCGCAGCCGGGCAGCGCCGACTCCCGACCCGGCCCAGATTAAGCCGCTTACCAACGGACCAGCACCTCCTGTACGCCTATGGGCTGCAGGACCAGTGTGCAGCCGTGTGATCCGTTAGCCCTTACTGTGGCACCGACGTGCAAAGGGGAACAGTCTCACAACACATGTGGGGTCCCGGTCTGTGACCCCGTGTACCCCTCCCTCTGGACGTCCACGGAGCCATCCATGGATCCCGGAGGGACCCCAGGTCCCAGACAGGAGCCAGCGTCCAGAGAGCATCCAGGGAATCAGCTTTATCTCCATGTACGCCTTCCCTAGCTGGGCCACTAGGGGGAGCCCCTGGCCCTGTGCCAGTGGTCTAAAAACCAAGGTTATTTTACAGCCGTAACCCTACTTCTTATTCCTGCTGCAGGGTGACAGGCCAGCCTCTCAGACCTGAGGCATGTGCCAATTTCTGTGCTGTAATCTGTTTAACGATCATGCATGATCACTTCACTATCTAAAACTACAAATCGGGAACCATAATCTGCTCCTTCTAAAACTTCAAAGACAGTTTTAGAGACAGTTTTTCTCACCTCAAGAAAGTTCAATAGCCCGCCCTCTCCCTCTCCACAGGAATTAAAAACATGCGTCTCTCCCATTGCGACTAAACTGGGCCATCCCCACGCTAACAAAGCGAAGAGCTCTGTAACGAGCAGCGAGTGTTTGAATCGGAGAAGCTCCCGGGCCTACGAACGGACCGAGGCAGGGTGGTGGAGGGGCTCAGAGATGGCTCGGACTGAACGACGACCTCTACGAGGGGCCCCGGAAATGCAAACGCCCACCGCTGACGTCCGACACACAGCTGCAGCCTCGCGGCATGCTGGGAAACCACGTCCTCTCCAGGCCGCGGGGGTTCCGGAGCGCGCCGTACCCAGACAGGCCAGACACACACAGCCTGAGTTCACTAACCACCCCCCCCACCCATGTCCCCCATATACACAACCCTACTATATTCAGGAGGTGCTGCTGCCCCCCCCACTCTCCTCCTCCCCCCTCCTCTGCCGTTTCTTGGCTCTGATCTCGTTCATCGCCTCTTCGATGGAGCGGGTGTCACGCTTATTGGCCACGGGCACTGCAGAGAGGGAGGGAGACAGGGAAGGATACAAATTATAGAGGAAAAGAGAGGGGGGAGGGTGAGACAGACAGCTGCAGTCCCACAAGCAGGTGTACAAGGAGCCAGACAGCGCAGCAGGCAGACAGACAGGCAGGTGGTTAGACAGGCAGGCGGTCAGACAGCGCAGCAGGCATGCAGACAGGCAGGTGGTTAGACAGGCAGGCGGTCAGACAGACAGACAGGTGGTCAGACAGCGCAGCAGACAGAAGGTGGATAGACAGCAGGTAGACTGGTAATGGGTGCACAGCAAACAGGCAGACAGGTAATTGATGCATATTAAGCAGGCGCCCCGAGAGACTCACCGCAGCCGTAGGTGCTGTTAGCCTGCAGAGTGTGCGCGGCGTCCTTGGCAGCTGAGGTGCCGATGAGGTGGCTATACTTGTCCCTGTAGTTGCTGTTGGGGCAGACGGCACTGCTGTCGGCCTCCGTGTCCCTCTGCTGCTCCAGCTGCGCCAGCTCCTGCAGACACAAGCCACTCGGCTCAGGAAGGGTGTGAACTGGCAGCAGGGGTCTGGGGTGGTCAGGGTCTGTTGGCAGGTGTCACTGTGCACCGTTGGCGCGGTGTGCTTGGGGTGACGTATCTCACCTTCAGACGGCGTTTCTCTTCAGCTTTCTGGGGGTTCCACTCCTCTCCCCGACGGTACGCATCTAGTTCCTCGTCTGAGGGAGCAAACTCCTGCAGGACACACAAACACAAACAGTCATTCACACACAGGAAGAGACCGCCAACAGCACAGGCAGAGAGAGACAGAGGGGGCCCTAGACAGGCTGAAAGAGAGAGACAGTGACAACAGCACAGGCAGAGAGAGAGACAGAAAGGGCTTAAAAGAGACAGAGAGAGGAATTTTACTTTTACTTTATTTTATGTTTTGTTCCATGTTAATTTTATTATTTTTATTTGCTTTGGTAACACTGATTGTACCCATCGGTCATGCTGATAAAGCACCTTGAATTGCAAATTGAATTGAATTGAGGAAGGAGAAAACACAGACTGGTAAGGTACACCTCTGGTCTTGTTACAAATCCCTACCTTTTTGAAGATCATGACGTAGCGGCTGTCTTCATCCTCACCGAAAGAGAAGGAGGTCAGTCCCGCGACCTCAGCCACGTCGTGCCTGGGAGGAGAGGAACAGATCGAACAGTGCTCATTACTGTGCAACGGTGCAGTTCTGCATATTATCTGTAAGATTGTCTTTCTATTGGTGAATCCACTCATCCATCCGTGCCTGGGTTGTGTGACTCTGCACAGGTGTACGATGGGAGTGTTGTGCTGTTGTGTGGAGTTGTTGTGGGGTTCTCCTACACATGGCTGCGTTGTGCGGCGTTGTGCTGTTGTGTACTTACAGGATGCTCCTCTCAATCTTGCCCATGGGCTCATACTTCTTCTTCTGGAGAGAACTGTCCTGGATGAAGTCAGACACCTCCTTCTCCATCTGAGGAGAGGCGGGGGGGGGTCAGTGAGACTGGCAGCGACAGAGCAGAGGGTACAGCCCAGCCCAACCCAGAAGAGTACATCCCAGTATAAACTAGTACAGCCCATTACAACCCTGTGGAGTACAGTCCAGTATAAACTAGTACAACCCAGTCCAACCCAGTAGAGTACATCCCAGTACAACCCCAGTGGAGTACAGCCCAGAATAAACAAGTACAGTCCAAACCAACCCAGCATAAATTTGTACAACCCAGTGGAGTACAGCCCAGTATAAACTTGTACACCCCAGACCAACCCAGTGGAGTGCAGCCCAGCATAAACTAGTACAGCCCAGTCCAACCCAGTGGAGTACAGTCCAGTATAAACTAGTACGGCCCAGGCCAACCCAATGGAGTACAGTCCAGTATAAACTATTCTAACCCTGTCCAACCCAGTAGAGTACATCCCAGTATAAACTAATACAGCACAGTGGAGTACATCGCAGTATAAACTAGTACAGCCCAGTACAACCCTGTGGAGTACAGTCCAGTATAAACTAGAACAACCCAGTCCAACCCAGTAGAGTACATCTTAGTATAAACTAATATAGCCCAGTACAACCCAGTTGAGTACAGCCCAGCATAAACTTGTACAGCCCAGTGGAGTACAGTCCAGCATAAACAAGTACAGCCCGGACCAACCCAGTGGAGTACAG